TGACCCAGAAGACCAGGAGAGGAGGGGAGCGTCCAGCTGAGACAGAGGGTTATATGCATATGTTCATACTTACTCATCACCTTTATTTAATGAAGTACTCATTCCTCATTGTCTTTAATACAGCGTGTTATATATTTGAATTAGAAACAATAGTTTTTAGCCATTAATAAAACATTTGAACTGGAAGGAACTTGAAATACAGAGACGGAGAGAGAGAAAGATTAAATATCTTTAATGACCATCTCACATCAAAACAACAAAACATGAATGTGATGTATGTGATTTTATCATTTTTGATTCTAAGTGAAATATAATCTCAAATCCAAGAGATGACATAAAAGATGGGAAATAAATAAAGAGAGTTGTAATAAATAAATTTTTGATGTCATATTGATAACATGGACATAAATAATGTTTGTAATAATAATAGCAAATAATCCTACTAAGACAACAGTTTTTGAATGTATGAAATTATAGAATTGTCTCCTTAGTTTCTGCAGTAGTTTGTTTGTATAGAAAATTGTTTTGTTTTTTTTCTGGTGTGGATAAACACGATTATAGGGATCATTGCTTTGTACTGACTCCAGACACTGTTATGTTATATTTTTCAGTAATTAATCTTGCTTTCACATAACGTGTCTTTTAAAATAATTTTACACATGTTTATTTATCCTGTTATTATACCAATATTTTATTTTAAATCTAACGATAATGTCAGTTAATGTTTTACTGTGTCTGAAGGAATTTGAGTTGTGATTTTATGCATATATAATTGCTGCATCTAACAGTGTTGTTAGTGTTTTATAATTGTTATACTTTGATCAGTATAGGAGCAATCGACTCTATAGTAAAGATTAACAGTAAACAATAAAACTTACACAGTTTTTACCGTTTTGATTGTGATTTTTATATTTAATTTCTTGTAAAGTATCAGTTATTTAATATAATCTTAAATTGTATTTCAAAATGAACTATAGTATTGTATTTTACTGTTTATTGTTAATCCATGCTGCCTTTTAATTGTTTGTGTACACAGGGACACATGTAGCCTGTAAGTAATGTAATTCTCCAATTGCACTAAATAAAGGTTACAGAAAGACGTTTGCACACATTCAATCCTAATATTCAGGGCAGGTGCAGGATAGATTTAAGCTCCCAAACCTTTATTTTGACTGAACAATCAACATTTTGATCTTAAAATCCATCAGGACAGGGATCTAAAACACAACGCGGCCAACACACTTTAACTGTCGGAGTGAGAGAATACAGAGCAATCCTGAAGAGCAAAATTGTTAGAAAGCGTCATATAATAAATAATATATATTGAGGAGAACTGCCTGCTGAGAGTGTCACGCTTTACTTGGGCTGTTTGTGTTTTCTTCTACAAGTTTCTGATGCTGTTTTAAATTGTTGATAGAGAGACATCATGAAGCAATTTGAGGACACCGTCTCCTTTTCAGCACACATCTGGTAAAAAAAATTTCTACTGCAAACATTCTTCTCACAGCAACCCATTTTGGCAACAGCACAGAACTTCCCACTTTTGCTCTCTATCTCAAAGTAAATTAAAATATGTAACACAGTTAATGTGATTTTTAAATCTAACAAAACACTGTCAAGCAGGTGGGTATGAGGTAGCAGGGACATATATTACATTTGTTTATGCTCATCTCCCTGTCTTATCTGTGTTTGAAGGCACGTTGCCTCTGTGGTTTTGGTTCCATTTCCTCTCACATTTCCCCTACATTTATTTCAAATGTCCTTCAGTTTTCTGCACTAAGTTGATTTAATCAAAATTCTTACCAAACCGCCTTGAAACAATGTGCACGTTTTGAGCAGCAGTCTACCTTTTAGCCATGCTCAGGCATGACTGCTCAGAGTGTGGCTCTGGTGGCAAAATCAAAATATCTCAACAACCATTAGATGCCATGACATTTGCTTCAGATATTTCTGTTTTCCTGAGGATGAACTGATCCCTTTACTTTTCATGGGTAAATTTGTACTTTGATTATGACAAAAAAAAGAAATTCCCTCATCCTCAGCTGTACTTCATGTTTAGAGCCTGATTTACTAAAGGTTTGCTTGAGTAAAAACGTGTTCAAACTTGATATCACCAGCAAATTAACACATAAGCTGATCTACTGCGTGTGCACGCAGAATGACGTCTTTTAAAGTACAAGATAGCACCTGTTCATTTAGTACTTTTGACTTAATGAATTGCAATTTGGGGGTTTAAATGTTATTGTGCAAAGTATTTATTTTGTATTTTCCTTTGCTTTGTCAATACTGTTGTATTAACATTCATGCCAGTAAAGCAAATTTTGTTTCGACCTGACTTCTTTTCTGGATGGATGGAAGAATGTAGAAAGTTGCGTGGCGCTGCGGAGAGCCCCCAGCTGCAGCGTAAAAGTCATCCAGCCATAGGGAAAGATCACTGTTCACAGCGCGCCGGTTGTGATAGCAACACAACCCATTGTAGGTCTTGGAGAGGAAATGGGGCGTTGAGGTGTACAGGGACAGGAGATCGCGTAGCGACGGTGTAGACGGTCGGTGATTGTTCCCTCTGACTAGATGAAGCACGATCTGCTGGCATTTCCTCGCGTCTGGGTCATTCCACCATACAGTAGCTGTTTCTGCTGGGGGTTTCCAAATCAGTTTTTCAGGTGTGCTGTCCCAAGCACTTGCAGTGCAATCTCAGGCTGGATGGGCAGGTACTTACGATTTCCACATACTCGGGACGCACTGAACGAAACAAACCGAGGTTTTTACGCAGTTGCTGCTTTCCTTCCCGACTCTCTCGGGCCATAAGAGTTTTAATTAGTACTAAACAGGAAGTACAGCTGAGGATTTGGTAATGTCTTTAGGTTTGCAGGTATTTTGTCATAATCAAAGTACAAATTTACCCATGAAAAGTAAAGGGATCAGTTCATCCTCAGGAAAACAGAAATATCTGGAGCAAATGTCATGGCATCTAATGGTTGTTGAGATATTTTGATTTTGCCACCAGAGCCACACTCTGAGCAGTCATGCCTGAGCATGGCTAAAAGGTAGACTGCTGCTCAAATAAGTGCACATTTGTTTTCAAGGCGGTTTGGTAAGAATTTTGATTAAATCAACTTAGTGCAGAAAACTGAAGGACATTTGAAATAAATGTAGGGGAAATGTGAGAGGAAATGGAACCAAAACCACAGAGGCCAACGTGCCTTCAAACACAGATAAGACAGGGAGATGAGCATAAACAAATGTAATAAATGTAAAAAAACAAAACAAAACAAAACGAAAAAAACTTAAAGTGAGGTATCAATCTGTCTGCTTTGACAGTCTCCATTTGGGTCCTTCACACCCACCCGCTTGACAGTGTTTTTGTTAAATTTAAAAATCACAGTAACTGTGTTCACATATTTTAATTTACTTTGAGATAGAGAGTACCAGTGGGACGTTCTGTGTTGGACTATTCTGTGCAGTTGCCTTATCTATTGTTTCATTTACTAGGATAGAGCGGGGGTCGCTGTGAGAAGAATGTTTGCAGTAGAAATTGTTTTACTAGATGTGTGTTACTGAAAAGGAGGCGGTAACAGAGTCTGTCCTAACTTGCTTCATGATGTCGTCTCTATCAACAATTTAAAACAGCATCAGAAACTTGTAGAAGAAAACACAAACAGCCCAAGTAAAGCGTGACACTCTCAGCAGGCAGTTCTCCTCAAAATATATTATTATATTATATTGACGCTTTCTAACAATTTTGCTCTTCAGGATTGCTCTGTATTCTCTTGCTCCTACAGTTAAAGTGTGTTGGCCTGCGTTGTGTTTTTAGATCCCCGTCCTGATGGATTTTAAGGTCAAAATGTTGATTGTTCAGTCAAAATAAAGGTTTGGGAGCTTAAATCTATTTTGAAACTTCTATTTTGCACCTGCCCTGAATATTAGGATTGAATGTTTCTGTAACCTTTATTAAGTGCAATTGGAGAATTACATTACTTACAGGCTACATGTGTCCCTGTGTACACAAACAATTAAAAGGCAGCATGGAGTAGCAATGAAACAGTAAAATACAATCCTGTAGTTGATTTTGAAATACAATTTAAGATGTATTAAATAACTGAAACTTTACAATAAATTAAATATAAAAATCACAATCAAAACAGTAAAAATTGGGTACCAAGTTTTATTGTTTATTTTTAACATTTCCCTTTAGAGACGATTACTCCTGGACTGATATAGACCAAAATGTATTTATATAACACTAACAACACTGCTACATGCTGCAATTATGAATGCATAAAAACACAACTCAAATTCCTTCATACATAATCATTTGATTTAAAACAAAGCATTAGTAAAATAACAGGACAAATAAACAAGTAAAATGATTTAATAAAAAAAAAGGTAAGTGAAAGCAATGTTAAAATTTTAATTACTTAAATAACATCACATCACTCCTGGGCAGGGTTCAGTACAAAGCAATGATCCCTATAACTGTGCTTATCCACAACAAAGAAATGTAAGAAATAACTAAATATACAAAAAGAACTAATACAGAAACTAAGAGGACATCTCGATGATTTGATACCTTCAAACACGTAGTATTATTATTTTCTATTACTATTTTAATCGTTATTTATGTTGATGTTATCATTATGACAATTTTATTAATTGTCTTCATTACAACTCTCTTTCTTTATTTCCCATATTTGATGTCACAACTTGGACTTGAGATTATTATTTCACTTAGCAAAAATGATAATATGACATACACTGAGTTTATGCAGTTAAACTTTTAAAAAAACCTTGTGATGAGTAAGTATGAACATATGCATATTAACCCTCTGTCTCAGCTGGACGCTCCCCTCCTCTCCTGGTCTTCTGGGTCACAGCGACTACAACAGCACAGAGGATCACCAGCAGACCACTGAGCAGTGACCACCTCACTATGTAGAAGTAAATCCAAAGGGCTCTCTGTGCTTCAGAAGAATCTTGGTAGTTGACTCACACAGATCATCTGGGCCTATAACTGCACACCAATACTCTCCTGTGTCTTCCACTGAGACATTAGAGATGACCAGAGTTGCATTATGGTAAGAGATTTTTACTCTGCTCAGATCAGACATTATATCAATATACTAAAGTTTCTGCCTTCTGTTCGGTTTGAGTTCATGAACCAAGTATGTCTCATACCCTGTCTCCAATCTCTGCACCTGAGAGTGACTTCATCTCCCTCTGAGAAGAACTCTACAGCAGGTGGGCCAAATTTGGGGCACACCAACAGAAAATATGTTTGCACACTGATATAGCCTTTACAGGAGTACAAACCTGAGTGATTTAGCATTAGAGATGAAAACACCAGCGAGTAGTTTTGGTCCACCTCAATGTTGGAGGAGGTGGGCGAATCAAACTTTGTCCAGCGTGGGGGCTGGTCATCATTATAATTAGAGACAACACACTGCAACACAGCTGTCTCTTCCGCTGAGCGGTAGATTATCTCTGGTTTTAGAGAAAACTGTAGAGGGTGACTGCTAACACACTGCTGTTGGTTCATCACCAGACAGTGTATAATGTAAAGATTTGTAGGTTGAGGTTAGATTGATGAAGAGCTGCTTTGTTTTTCATCACTGTAACATTGTCCATCACTGATTTTGTCCTGTCCCCCAAAACTCTTGTCCATATGTCTTCCTTATATCTAAAGTCACGCTTGAGCCACTGGATATCCAGATTGTCAGCCGTTCCAAACATGGCAGGTCCGCTGTTCCCTCAAAGCCCACTGGAATATCTTATCTATTGTACTACAAATAATAATACTGAGGTTTTTCTCATATGTCCCTTTGCCCTCAGTCCAACACTCCTCTTGGTACTGGCCGGAGTCTGAATGGGTCAGGTTGTGAATCATGTAAGAAGAAATATTCTCCCTGCTGACCACTGAAAGTCGTTGCTTCAGGTCTTCGGCTACTGTGGAGTTCACAGACCTGAGGTCAGAGGTATTCCACAGGACAAGCTTCTCCTCACCAACAAATCTGGAGATCAGGCAGAAGTCGGCCTCCTTGTTGGGGTTGAAGGTGTAAGAGCCCCTTTCCTCTTGGATGATGATGAGTTCTTCTGCATCAATGTTGTTGATGAGAGCAAACAGCAGGAAGGAGAGCTCTGTGACTGCAGCCATTCTGCTCTGAGGTCTCCTTGTGAGTGTCGTGCAAAGACCGACACCACTCCCCTCATAAGCTCTATGTCATGTGTGAGAAAGTGCTAACCAACAAAGAAGACTAAGAGTTCACAGTCATGCTAGCAGCTCTGTGAAGCTGTACTTTAGCTGAACATGCTCACAATGATAATAATGATAACTAAAAACATTTAGTAAATATAATGTTTACCATCTTAGTTTAGTGTGTCAGCATCCCAAGAGTTTTTAATTATTAGTAAGCATGAAGTACAGCTGAGGATGAGGGAATGTCTTTATATTGAATTCATTTTGTCATAAACCAAAGTACAAATTGACAGATTAAAAGTAATTGATTGGTTCATCCTCAGGAAAACAGAAATATATGAACTAAATTGGTATATACTAGCAGAAATGTGAGAGGAAATGGAGCCAAAACCACAGAGGCCAATGTGCCGTCAAACACATATAATTAGGAGATGTGCGGAACCCACCTGTGAAAGCTTGAGTAATAATGTTTGTCTGTATCTATGGTTGTGATGAGAGAGAGAGAGATGAGCATAAATACATGTAAAATAAATACTTAAAAATAAAAGTAAGGTAGTAATCTAGACTACTTCAGTGTGAGGAGGTGGACGAATCAAACTTTGTCCAACGTGGGGGCTGGTCATCATTATAATGAGAGACAACACACTGCAACACAGGTCTTGGAGAGGAAATGGGGCGTTGAGGTGTACAGGGACAGGAGATCGCGTAGCGACGGTGTAGACGGTCGGTGATTGTTCCCTCTGACTAGATGAAGCACGATCTGCTGGCATTTCCTCGCGTCTGGGTCATTCCACCATACAGTAGCTGTTTCTGCTGGGGGTTTCCAAATCAGTTTTTCAGGTGTGCTGTCCCAAGCACTTGCAGTGCAATCTCAGGCTGGATGGGCAGGTACTTACGATTTCCACATACTCGGGACGCACTGAACGAAACAAACCGAGGTTTTTACGCAGTTGCTGCTTTCCTTCCCGACTCTCTCGGGCCATAAGAGTTTTAATTAGTACTAAACAGGAAGTACAGCTGAGGATTTGGTAATGTCTTTAGGTTTGCAGGTATTTTGTCATAATCAAAGTACAAATTTACCCATGAAAAGTAAAGGGATCAGTTCATCCTCAGGAAAACAGAAATATCTGGAGCAAATGTCATGGCATCTAATGGTTGTTGAGATATTTTGATTTTGCCACCAGAGCACACTCTGAGCAGTCATGCCTGAGCATGGCTAAAAGGTAGACTGCTGCTCAAATAAGTGCACATTTGTTTTCAAGGCGGTTTGGTAAGAATTTTGATTAAATCAACTTAGTGCAGAAAACTGAAGGACATTTGAAATAAATGTAGGGGAAATGTGAGAGGAAATGGAACCAAAACCACAGAGGCCAACGTGCCTTCAAACACAGATAAGACAGGGAGATGAGCATAAACAAATGTAATAAATGTAAAAAAACAAAACAAAACAAAACGAAAAAAACTTAAAGTGAGGTATCAATCTGTCTGCTTTGACAGTCTCCATTTGGGTCCTTCACACCCACCCGCTTGACAGTGTTTTTGTTAAATTTAAAAATCACAGTAACTGTGTTCACATATTTTAATTTACTTTGAGATAGAGAGTACCAGTGGGACGTTCTGTGTTGGACTATTCTGTGCAGTTGCCTTATCTATTGTTTCATTTACTAGGATAGAGCGGGGGTCGCTGTGAGAAGAATGTTTGCAGTAGAAATTGTTTTACTAGATGTGTGTTACTGAAAAGGAGGCGGTAACAGAGTCTGTCCTAACTTGCTTCATGATGTCGTCTCTATCAACAATTTAAAACAGCATCAGAAACTTGTAGAAGAAAACACAAACAGCCCAAGTAAAGCGTGACACTCTCAGCAGGCAGTTCTCCTCAAATAATATATTATTATATTATATTGACGCTTTCTAACAATTTTGCTCTTCAGGATTGCTCTGTATTCTCTTGCTCCTACAGTTAAAGTGTGTTGGCCTGCGTTGTGTTTTTAGATCCCCGTCCTGATGGATTTTAAGGTCAAAATGTTGATTGTTCAGTCAAAATAAAGGTTTGGGAGCTTAAATCTATTTTGAAACTTCTATTTTGCACCTGCCCTGAATATTAGGATTGAATGTTTCTGTAACCTTTATTAAGTGCAATTGGAGAATTACATTACTTACAGGCTACATGTGTCCCTGTGTACACAAACAATTAAAAGGCAGCATGGAGTAGCAATGAAACAGTAAAATACAATCCTGTAGTTGATTTTGAAATACAATTTAAGATGTATTAAATAACTGAAACTTTACAATAAATTAAATATAAAAATCACAATCAAAACAGTAAAAATTGGGTACCAAGTTTTATTGTTTATTTTTAACATTTCCCTTTAGAGACGATTACTCCTGGACTGATATAGACCAAAATGTATTTATATAACACTAACAACACTGCTACATGCTGCAATTATGAATGCATAAAAACACAACTCAAATTCCTTCATACATAATCATTTGATTTAAAACAAAGCATTAGTAAAATAACAGGACAAATAAACAAGTAAAATGATTTAATAAAAAAAAAGCAATGTTAAAATTTTAATTACTTAAATAACATCACATCACTCCTGGGCAGGGTTCAGTACAAAGCAATGATCCCTATAACTGTGCTTATCCACAACAAAGAAATGTAAGAAATAACTAAATATACAAAAAGAACTAATACAGAAACTAAGAGGACATCTCGATGATTTGATACCTTCAAACACGTAGTATTATTATTTTCTATTACTATTTTAATCGTTATTTATGTTGATGTTATCATTATGACAATTTTATTAATTGTCTTCATTACAACTCTCTTTCTTTATTTCCCATATTTGATGTCACAACTTGGACTTGAGATTATTATTTCACTTAGCAAAAATGATAATATGACATACACTGAGTTTATGCAGTTAAACTTTTAAAAAAACCTTGTGATGAGTAAGTATGAACATATGCATATTAACCCTCTGTCTCAGCTGGACGCTCCCCTCCTCTCCTGGTCTTCTGGGTCACAGCGACTACAACAGCACAGAGGATCACCAGCAGACCACTGAGCAGTGACCACCTCACTATGTAGAAGTAAATCCCAAAGGGCTCTCTGTGCTTCAGAAGAATCTTGGTAGTTGACACACACAGATCATCTGTGTCTGTAACTGCACACCAATACTCTCCTGTGTCTTCCACTGAGACATTAGAGATGACCAGAGTTGAATTATGGTAAGAGATTTTACTCTGCTCAGATCAGACATTATATCAAATATACTAAAGTTTCTGCCTTCTGTTCGGTTTGAGTTCATGAACCAAGTATGTCTCTTACCCTGTCTCCAATCTCTGCACCTGAGAGTGACTTCATCTCCCTCTGAGAAGAACTCTACAGCAGGTGGGCCAAATTTGGGGCACACCAACAGAAAAATATTTGCACACTGATATAGCCTTTACAGGAGTACAAACCTGAGTGATTTAGCATTAGTGATGAAAACACCAGCGAGTAGTTTTGGTCCACCTCAGTGTCGGAGATGGGCGAATCAAACTTTGTCCAACGTGGGGGCTGGTCATCATTATAATTAGAGACAACACACTGCAACACAGCTGTCTCTTCCACTGAGCGGTAGATTATCTCTGGTTTTAGGAATAACTGTACAGGGTGACTGCTAACACACTGCTGTTGGTTCATCACCAGACAGATGTACAATGTAAAGAT